TATCTTCTTTTAATCGAGAAATTCCCCACCCAAAAATATTAAAAATGTTATGAGGTGTGGCATGGTTCAGGTGTCTCTGAGGATATTTGTACTGTTTCTTTAAAAGGTGGAGTGTGTGTGAGGTGGGGGGAGTGGGGATGATTCTACGCAGAAGCTTGAGAGAGAGAAAATACTGTTTTCCTTATTCTAATAATTCTTCTGGTTCACAGAGAAAGTGGAGAAAGATGCCTTCTCTGATTCTGTACCATTGTTGCATGACATTTATGATGGTCATGGAGCTGTTCTGTAATAATTTATAAATACTGTATGTTGACCTGGTTACTGTCATGTTTACTACTTGAATAGATAGGTTCAGTTTATTGGGGGCTGTAAGGAAAACAAGCAGAAAGGAAAAAGAATGACTCAAGATAAGCCACCCCTCAGCAAACACTTGAGAGGTAAAAGACAACACCTGGTTTCTTAGCTTTAAAGATTTTACTTCTCCCTAGTCAACCTGCAAAACTAGGTTTGTCTTAATGGACCAAAGCTCAGGAATTCAGAAGAACAAAAAAACTCTGGCAGTTTACAAAGGATCTCTCTCTCTCTCTCAAGAAGGCAGTAGCTGTTCAATGAGTTGTTTGGGAGACCAGACTAAGGTGCAGGCACCTGCAGGAGTGTCTGAAGAAGTTAGGCTTTCCTAGGCTACCATCAGGGTATAGCAGGGGTTTAGGTAAGGCAGACATGCATGTACACTAAAAATCCTTTTTCTCTGCATACAGTATTTTGTTCCTACACATAAAATAAATAATACTTTGGTTTTCAGAAGACTGCCTGATCATTGTATACCACTGGTCACACACTCCCAAAGTGTGCCAAACCCCACTGGATCTGCTGAGCAAGCACAATTGATAAATGAGGTACTGTAGCCCAGGGCAGAGGCTAAGAGAGGGAAAATTATGGAATTCCATCTGGGATAGGTAAAGGTATAAGGCCTGACAACCGAGGGGGAGCACTCAGAGACCAGGGAGGGGAAAGAGGTGCAGCTAGCCCTGCAACTGTGAAAACATCCACAACTTCATAAAGCAGATATCTGGATTTAGCAGGCCTAATTCTCCTCTCACAGCATTGACTTCAGTGGTGTTACTCTTGATTTACGCTGGTGTTAGAGGAGGAGAATCAGGCCAAATGATTCAAGAAAGCTTTACATACCCTATACATTTTCTCACTTGTTATAGGTTTGTGAAATGCAATATTTTATTACTCACAGATTACACTGCTGTCTTTACAATCACCAATAAGAGAGCTAGTTACCATCATATTACTCTAAATGTCTTCTGCCAAAGGCTACATTGCATCACTGGTTATGGAAACATCCCCTTTCATATCTTCTGGACTCAAATCCACAAATGTTATTTGGCCATAGATTGAGAAATTCTGGTTATTTTATTTCTTCACTATGCCCTAGCCTGGTCTGTCATCCTCTAAAGGGACAAAGCAGCCCTAAAGTTGATATCCTCATCAACTGCTCCCCCATTCTCCTCGCTTGTTGACTACTTGCTGTAAGTAATCTTGTTCCAAGAAAACTGCTAATTCTACAGCTGTCGTATATGTCAGGGGGAAGCTGATGATTGAAGAATGTGGGCAACTCTGTTAAAGTGTTCAGAGACTCTTCTGATACATGTGATGGAGATATTTAACTAAAATCAAAAGTGGGAGAGAGTATTTGTTAAAAATGCAAGTGTGAAAAAAAACTTTCATAGCCTATTCTGCCACAAATATTCTCTAAAGTACCTTTCCGTTTTGTTTTCACTCAACTTTTAGTGTTGCTGAGTTTGAAAATTGACATCTTAACAGTTGGAAAAGCAAATCTTTCTCACTTAATGTACAAGCTTAATATTTGAGAATAACAGGAAAATAAAGCTGCAAATGAGCAACCTGGCTAGTTTGGAAACACCTTTTAATAAAATATGAGCTCAGAACAAATGGGAAAAACTAAGGCTAAGTCTACACTGTGCACCTTACAGTGACCAGGGAGATTGACGTGTTCTCCGACTGGTTTTTGAATGTTATAATTCTGGACGTCTGATTTGTGTCCATTTATTCTTTTATGTAGAGACTGTCCGGTTTGGCCAATGTACATGGCAGAGAGGCATTGCCGGCACATGATGGCATATATCACAGTGGTAGATGTGCAGGTGAACGAGCCTCTGATCGTGTGGCTGATGTGATTAGGCCCTTTGATGGTGTCCCCTGAATAGATATGTGGACACAGTTGGCAACGGGCTTTGTTGCAAGGATAGGTTCCTGGGTTAGTGTTTTTGTTGTGTGGTGTGTGGTTGCTGATGAGTATTCGCTTCAGGTTGGGGGGCTGTCTGTAAGCAAGGACTGGCCTGTCTCCCAGGATCTGTGAGAGTGATGGGTCGTCCTTCAGGATAGGTTGTAGATCCTTGATGATGCGTTGGGGAGGTTTTAGTTGGGGGCTGAAGGTGATGGCTAGTGGCGTTCTGTTATTTTCTTTGTTGGGCCTGTCCTGTAGTAGGTGACTTCTGGGAACTCTTCTGGCTCTATCAATCTGTTTCTTCACTTCAGCAGGTGGGTGTTGTAGTTGTAAGAACGCTTGATAGAGATCTTGTAGGTGTTTGTCTCTGTCTGAGGGGTTGGAGCAAATGCAGTTGTATCGCAGAGCTTGGCTGTAGACAACGGAAGGTCTGGAAGAAAGCTGGAGGCATGTAAGTAATCTCCCTGGTCACTCGAGCACAGACCTAAAAGTGGCAATACTACAACAACAAAACTTCAAAACCAGACTCCAACGAGAAACTACTGAATTGGAATTCATTTGCAAACTGGACACCATTAAATTAGGCTTGAATAAAGACTGGGAGTGGATGGGTCATTACACAAAGTAAAAACTATTTCCCCTTGCTTATTTCCCCCCCCTACTTTTACTCACACCTTCTTGTTAACTGTTGTAAATGGGCCATCCTGATTATCACTACAAAAGGTTTTTTTTCTCCTGCTGATAATAGCTCACCTTAACTGATCACTCTTGTTATAGTGGGAATGGCAACACCCATTTTTTCATGTTCTGTGTGTATATCTATATCTATCTTCCTACTGTATTTTCCACTGCATGCACCAGATAAAGTGGGTTTTAGCCCACAAAAGCTTATTTTCAAATACATTTGTTAGTCTCTAAGGTGCCACAAGTACTCCTCATTCTTTTTGCTGATACAGGCTAACACGGCTACCACTCCGAAACTTAACACCCTTAGGTTTTGTCTTCTCCGCATCTGCACAGTTAATATGGGTGACTGGTTCCTGGGTCTGATCACCTGGTTTAGCCTTTTAGCCCATGGGAGTGCCCACAGCACTGTGTATATGTGTTACTGTGCCCTCCCTGTTTCTGCACTTCCTCAGCCATGTGGCTGGGGCCTTGCGCCAGGGCTCTCTGTACAGAGATGTTCTGAGTGGGATTCTTTCCCGGTTGATTGCCTGAGAGCTTGTCTGGCCAGGGGGAGGGGGGCACTGAAGAACTATCAGTCCTGGCGCTATCCCCCCTGCATGCATACAGCCGCAGTCCCAGTAAAAGTGAAGCCTGGCTCCTAACTGTAAGCGAGGGAATAGTCCCGCTATTGTGGGGAACTTTCCTGGCTTCTGCACTACCCCGGTGAAGTGGGCTAGCGAAAGGATCTTGCTCCCACTTCCTTTACCCAGAGGCCTTTCCGTTCCCCTGTCTGGCAAAGTCCTCGTAACCCCAACAAGGCTGCACCCAGGATTCCTGTGGGGCTCGATCCCCAACCCTGCTGTGGTCACCTAGGACAGCGGCTAGGGTGTCCCCACTCCAGGGTACTCTCTCTGCACTGGGCACTTCTCTGACCCACTGATCATTACATACAATTTAAAGCAAATGCAAGTTATTTAATCAACAATTAATTTTAAAAAGAGTAACGAAAAATGGGAAAGGTTAAAGGAAACACATCACCCCACTCTGTGGCAGGGAACATCACAAACAGTGTCTCTGGAATGTCAGGGCAGTTCGCAGTTTGTTCCTTGTAAATCCCAGGCCTTCTTCTCAGGCCCTGGCTGTGCTGCAGGGACGCTGTGGGTTGAACACTCACTCTGGTGGTGGCCACATGCTCTCACGCTCTAGGTGGCAGGACCCTTCTTCCCAGCATTGCCCCCGCCCTGCCAGGGTTACCAATCCCCCCCCATGAGTCTGGCCTGCAGAGCCTCCTGGCTGAGGCATCTCCCTGTGCTGGACCCACTGCCCAAGGTCCCCCCTCGCTCTCCCCAGCTGCTCAGGACACCTGGCTCCAGACTGCCCCAGCCCCAGCCCCACTCTGCTGCTGCTCTGCCTCCAGCTCCCTGGGCTGCTTCTCTGGCCCCTCTGGCTCTGGTTGCTGCAGCTCTGCTCCCAGGACAGGGGCTGCTCTCGCTGCATCTAGCCCACCTCTGCTCCCCAGCTCAGCTGGGCCCCACTCTGTCTGACCCAGGCAAATCCAGCTCACACAGAGGAGGGACCTCCCTGGCCTCCTGACTCTCTGATTAGCCTGCCCACCCTGTCATTCAGGCTGACCTGGAGCATTGGCCTCTCCCCATTGCTCCTGGGGACTGTCAGTCTCAGGATCCTGATTCCCCATCGACCCTTCCCCCTTTTTAGTACTGGGAGCTAGCAACCAAAATGCCCACGCTGACTGCTGGGAAGGGGGCAACAGTCCCCTGACGTAACCCTCCTGCGGGGTGACTGCGCCAGCCAGGGCTGCACCCCCACAGCTCAGGGCTGGGGGGGCTGCTGTCTGCGGAGAGGAGCCAGGTTTGGGCAGGCACGTGGCTGGGAGCCGGGGTTCAGGGGGCAGCCAAGACCTGGCCTGAGAGCCCAGCAGGGCAGAAAACCCTGCAACCAGCCAGCCCGCCCCACCTCCCCGCGAGCCAGGGGCCGGGCCGCGCTTGCGGCTCGCACCGGCCGGCAGGGGGCGCGCGCGGGGGCTCTCTATGGCCGGGCCCCGCCTCCCGTTGCCAGTGGCAGGAGGTTTGTTTACTTCCGGGACCCGCCCCCGCCCCCCGCAGCCAGCAGCCGCCATGGGGGAGGCGGAGGAGCCGGTGCCCGGTGAGTCTCCCGGGTCCCTGCGGGGTGTGGGTCGCTCGTTCGCTGTGTCCCAGCCGCGGCCCGCCCCGAAACTCGGGCAGCCCCTGTGTGAGCAAAGAGCCCCCGGGGCGGGGGCGGCTCCGTCCCGTGCTCGGCTTCCCCCGGGCTTCAACCCCCCCCCCGCCGCCGCCGCCGGCTTCCCCCGGGCGCTGCGGTGCCTGAGTGTTTCCGCGGAAGGATCCGGACTCCCGTGTCCGGGCCGCCCGGGGGCTGCGGGGCGGGACCAACAGTGGCCCTCCCCTCGGGGCTGCCGGCGGGGCCGGAGCCCGGCTGCGGCCCCCCAGTTCTCTCGCCCCGGGGTTGGCACGTTTCTTTGGGGCCCCCGCGCAGCCTGTTGCTCGAAGTGCGTGTCCCATCCCCGCTGAATGTCTGGCTTGTACCTTGGGCAATTTGGGCCACGCTTTGGCCTCTTGAGAGCTAGCAAGAGTTGCAGCGCCTAGTACAGATAGTTCATTTTTATCCTCACTAGTGCTAGGTATTATCGGTTTTCATGCTACAGATCATAAGAGAACTGCGGGCTGAGGTTACATGCAAGTGGCCCCCGCCCTCCACCCCCAGCCCCATCACAGTAGCACACAATCATACGGATTTAGTCTTCTAATGCTTTTTTCTGAGAAGCATCACACTCGCCTCTACTGAAGAAAGGTATCAGCCCAGGTGGACCATTGGACCCTCCTGGTATGGTGTTCCTTATGTAATTCCATATAAAACTGTTTATTCTATGGGTTTGGTTTTTTTCAGGCAAATGACAAAATAAAGTGTCTGTTGCAGAGCAACTGCTGTCATGTACAGAATGTGTTCAGTCAAGAAAAAAAGATTTTAGGCAAAGAAAATGTTGCCCCCAGAAACTAATATAACACATTTAAAATCTTATCATGACTATTTTCCAGCTGGTAAAGAATGTGGCTTAGTCTACGACATTTTATAATAATGTCAATTGGAACTAAAATATCTGCATATTCTTACTATGTATTAAGAACAGCCATACTGGGTCAGACCAATGGTCCATGTAGCCCATATCCTGTCTTCTGACAGTGGCCAATGCCAGGTGCCCCAAAGGGAATGAACAGAACAGGTAATCATCAAGTGATCCATCCCCTCTCACCCATTCCTAGCATCTAGCAAACAGAGGCTAGGGACACTTCAGAGCATGGTTTTGCACCCCTGCCCATCCTAGCTAATAGACATTGATGGACCTATCCTCCATGAACTTATCTAGTTCTTTTTTTGAACCCTGTTATAGTATTACAAGCTGTATTGTTATCCTGGGAAATATGAAGATATTTACTAAATTGCTAAATTTAGTATCAAATAAATTTTAAAAGTATGTGTGTTTTATGATGTAATCACCCGATGCAGTGCAAATTGTGACTCCCTCTGCCTTTTTTGTATGTATTGTATTGAGAATACAGTAAAAGCTGTTTTATCTGGCACATCACCAACCAGAAAGCTTCACTGAAATTCCGGTTTATAGTCTGGTTGGTTTGGGGCTGGTAGGGGGTTGGGGTGTGGGAGTGGGTGTGGAATGCGGGGTGTGGGAGGGAGTTTGGGTGGGGAAGGGGGCTCAGGGCACGGGGCTCAGGGCACGGGAGGGGGTGTGTGGTGCCAGATCCGGGGAGCGCTCACCTCAGGTGCTCCCTGCAAGTGGCGACCTGTCCCGGCTGTTCCTAGGTGGAGGCACGGCAGGTGGCTCTGCGTGCTGCCCCCACCCTGAGTGCTAGCTCCACAGCTCCCATTGGCTGGGAACCACGCCCAATGGCAGCTGCAGGGGTGGAGCCTGCAGGCAGAGGCAGTGTGTGGAGCAGTCTGCCATGCCTCCTCCTAGGAGCAGCCAGGACAGGTCACCACTTGCGGGGAGTCGTCTGAGATGAGTGCCCCACAGATCCGGCACCCCGCACCCTCTCCCATGCCCCAACCCGCTGCCCCGAGCCCCCTTCTGCAGCCAAACTCCCTCTCAGAGCCTGCGCCCTGCACTCCTGCTGCACCCAAACTGCCTACCTCTTAGTTAACTGGCATTTTTCACTTACTGGCAACCCCCGTTCCCCCAACATGCTGGGAAAAAAAAGTTTTTACTGTGTGTGTGTGTGTGTATATATATATATATATATATTCAGCCATAGGGCTCTTAACTGAACAAAATATGCTACTATTCAGCTTGGCAGACACTTCTACCCTGATATTAATGTCAAGGGCATCACTCTAAGCATATCCAAATGACATGGAAAATGGACACCTCTCTGTAGGGGGACAAATGCAAAAATTAAGACCACACTTTTGGTTAATATTTATTCGTTCAAGAGTAGCATTGTGGATATAGTAAAAAAAAGATACTTGTAATAGATTCCAAGGCCTGAAGGGATCATTGTGATCATCTAGTCTGAATTCCTGTGTAACACGAACCACAGCACTTCCCCACAATAGTTCCTAAAGCATATCTTTTAGAAAAACATTCAATCTTGATTTAAAAGTGGCAAGAGATGGAGAGTCCACCAGGACCCTGGGTGAATTGTTCCAGTGGTTAATTACTCTCACTGTTAAACTTATTCCAGTCTGAATTTGTCGAGCTTCAATTTCCAACCATTAATCATGTTATCCCTTTCTCTGCTAGATTGAAGAGCCCATTATAAAATGTTTATTCCCCAGGTAGATACTTATCGACTGTAATCAAATCACCCTTAGCCTTTTCTTTGTTAAGTTAAATAGATTGAGCTCTTTGAGTCTGTCACTATAAAGCATGATTTCAAATCCTTTAATCATTCTTATGGTTCTTCTCAAAACCCTTTCCAATTCATCAACATCCTTCTTGAATTGTGGGCACCAGAAATGGACACAGTATTCCAGCAGCAGTCGCACCAGTGCCAAATATAGAGGTAAAATAACCTCTCTGTTCCTACTCAAAATTCCTTTATTTATACATTCCAAAATTGCATTAGCAGTTTTGGGCACAACATCACCCTGGGAGATCACATTCTGCTGGTTGTCCACCAGAACCCCCACATCTTTTTCAGAGTCGTTGCTTCCCACAAGAGAGCCCCCCATCCTGTACCTACAGCCTACATTCTTTGTTCCTGGGTATATACATTAGTTGTATAAAAATGCATATTGTTTGCTTGCCCCCAGTTGACCAAGCGCTCAAGATTGCTCAGAACCAGGGACCTGTCTTCTTCATTATTTACCACCCAATTTTTGTGTCATCTGTATACTTACCAGTGATGATTTTATGGCTTCTTCCAGATCATTGATACAAATGTTAAATAGCACAGGGCCAAGAACCGATCCCTGCAGGACCCCACTAGAAACACACCTGCTCTACGATGATTCCCCACTTACAATCACATTTTGAGACCTATCAGTTAGCCATTTTTAATCCATTTAATGTGTGTCTTGTTAATTTTATATCATTCTAGTTTTTTAATCAAAATTTCATGTGGTACCAAGTCAAATGCCTTACAGAAATCTGTCACACCAAAACTATTTTAATCAACCAAATTTGTAATCTCATAAAGAAAATCTTAAATTAGTCTGGCCAGGTCTGTTTTCCCTAATCCCATATTGATTTGCATTAAGTATGTTACCCTCCTTATTTCTTTATTAGAGACCTGTATCAGCCATTTCACTATCCTGGCTGGGATTGATGTCATATTGACAGGCCTATAATTACTCAGGTAATCCCGTTTATGTTTGTAAAAACTGACATATTAGCTTTCTTCCAGTCTTCTGGAACTTCCCCAGAGCTCCTCAGCCATCTGTTTTAAAACTCTTGGATGCAAGTTATCTAGACCTGAAGTTTTAAACACGTCTGACTTTAGTAGATTCTGTCTAACATCCTCCAGAGATACTAGTGGAATGGAAAGATTGTTATCATGATGTGATGAAACTATATCATCTGTTTTTTCCTCAAATACAGAACAGAAATATTTATTGAACACTGGTGCCTTTTTTGCATTATTGATAATTCTACCGTTTCCATCTTGCAATGGACCAGTACCATTCTCAGAATTCTTTTTGTTTCTAATATATTTTAAAAAACTCCTTCTTATTAGCCTTAGCTCTGCAGGCCATTGATTTCTTCTTGCGTACCTTTGCTTCCCTTATCAGTTTTATACAATCCCTAACTTCTGATTTAAATGTATTGCCATCAGCTTCCCCGTTCTTCCATTTGTTTTATACTTACATTTTTTTTTATAGCTGCCTTCACTTCCTGTCTAAATCCGGTCATTTTTTAAATCAATATGGCCTTCTTCCTCAATTTGTGGATTTTTTGGGCCTCTCGTAAAGTGTTCTTAAACGATTCTTAAATGTCCTTAAATTTGTCCTCCCAATTGATTTGGCTCATAATTGTTTTCAGCTTTGTGAAACTGGCCCTATTAAAGCACCAAGTATATATATTACTGGTCTGGACTTTATTCTGTTTGAACATTATAATTGTGATCAAGTCATGATCACTTGTATCTAAGCTACCATTAATTTTTAGTTCTGTGATCAGTTCCTCTTTATTCTGTTTAGACAAAGTCTAATCATGAATTCCCCCACACTGGGTGCAACACTTTTTGAATTAGGAAATTGTCATCTATAATTAAGGCTAAGATTATGTTACGGAAGTCACGTATTCTGTAACATTTTCTGCTTCTGTCTTGGGACATTGGGGGCTGAAAATCTCAGCTTGCAGGGGCCCTGGAGCTATGAGCCACAATGGGTGGTGGGGGGCCCCTGCAGATCCCAGCTGCCAGGGGGATGGGACTCAGAGCTCCAATCTGCTACAGGTGGTGGGGCCCCTGGAGCTCTGAGCTGCCAGCGATGGTAGAGCTGTCAGCTGTAGTGGAGGCGGGTACTGGACCCCCTTCCCCATTTTTTCATTCTCCTGCACTAATGCTAGCTTTCAGTAGAGAAAGCTATGAAAATCTCAAAGCTCTGTGGGCAGCAGATGCAGTTCTGGATGGTCTCTTGAACAAAATGATGTGTAAAGTAAGCATATTCTTCCTAAGTACAGGGAAAACTTCTTTAAGAAGACTTAAATGTTGAGCATTAGAAATTGAAGCTAAGAAACAAAGTTGGGAATGTCGGGGAGAATAGCATAATAGAAAGCATTGCATTTATTAATTTTCAATGTAAGCAATATCTCTAGAACTATATGACAGTATTTTACAGGAACAGCCATGAACATTACTTCATCCATTACTGTGTGTGTGTATAGGCATGAGGGGTGTGTGTGTGTGTTTTTGTATGTATAGGGCTTTCACTTTTCAAAACAATGAAAATTCTTTTTGCGGAAGAATGGTGTAATGGTTAAAGCACAGGACTCACAGTTAGGAGATCTGAGTTCTAATCCTGATTCTGGCTTTTCACAGTCTTCCTGCATGATGTTGGGCAAATCCTTCAATTTATATGTCCATTGTAGCACAATAAGCTTGAGATTCTTTTGTTCTCCAAAGTGGGAAGAATTATGAGTGTAAAAAATAAAGATCTCCAGGGTTGGATTTTTTTTTTTAAAGATCATAATTTTAAAATGGAAGTTGGTTTTGGCAGCCCTAGTTTTCAAGGGCTGAGAGTCTTGCTTTTAGGGGGCAGTTTTTAGAGCAAATGTATCTTTTCAGATGAGTGAGGAAGAGTGGTCAGATTTGGAGCCTGTCAACCTTTTCAGTGTCTCTGTCTAATCCAATTTGGAAAACCTGTTTGAATTCAAGTGTAAACGTAAGTGAGATTATTATTTTTTGTCTCAGCCTGCTTTCAGGTTGAGCTTTTTGTGTTTTACTTTTTTGGGTCAAATTTTTCATTTTTTTTAAGCCCTCTTACATATGGCAATATTGCTGTATTTCTTAGAGGATAGTGGTAAAGGACAAAAGAACTTAGTTATATTCTTAAAGAAAAATATATCTACATCTGTATCTAATCTATTAGCAAAGCCCATGAGACTAGGAAGGAATGGAGGGAAGAAAATGTGATCCTAAAAATGGTAGCCTTGAGGAAGCTGACTGAGAGAAACCACCAGATCTTGAAGAGAAATAAAGAAATAAGAAAAGACGGTGGAAAATAAAAAGGATGCTTGGATTAATGGGAAGTTACTATTTTGGATAAATGAGGTATAACTAATTTGCACTAATACTGAAACTGTCTTATTTATGTTTTAGAATCCGGTGCTGTTTTCACATTTGGAAAAAGCAAATTTGCCGAAAATATTCCTAGCAAGTTCTGGTTTAAAAATGACAAGCCTTTGTATATGTCATGTGGAGATGAACATACTGCTATTGTTACAGGTTAGTATCGACACAGTTTAAGGAACATGTTTTGTAATACACGGCTTGTAAATGTATCGCTTAGTTTCACGTCTTTGGTAGTATTATAAACAAACAATCCCCTCCCCCCGTTGTTTGAAGGAGTGCCTTCATTCCCATTGAAGTCTCAGAATTTAATTCCCAGTGCACACTAAACAGGAGATGCCTGATGCCCCACATGAATGAGTCTTTGGTGCATAATGACAGTATTGGATCAAAATAAGAACGGCCATATTGGGTCAGACCAATGGTCCATCTAGCCTGGTATCCTGAGCAGATGTTTTCAGAGAACTATCCACAATGGCCCCAAGATCGCTTTCATGGCTGGTAACAACTAATTTATACCCCCTTATTTTGTAGGTATAGCTGGGATTATGTTTTCCAATGTGCATTATTTTGCATTTATCAACATTGAATTTAATCGGCCATTTTGTTTCCCAGTCACCCGTTTAATGAGATCTCTTTTTAACTCTTCAGTCAACTTTGGACTTAACTATCGTCTGCAAACTTTGCCATTTCACTGTTTACCCCTTTTTTCAGATCATTTATGAATATGTTGTACAGCACAGATCCCAGTATGTATCCTTGGGGGACCCTGCTGTTTATCTCTCTCCACCATGAAAATTGACCATTTATTCCTACCCTTTGTTTCCTGACTTTTAACCAGTTACTGATCTATGAGAGGACCTTCCCCCCCAGCTATCAAAATGAATTAAATCAACTTGAAAAAGAACACTGAGACTGACTGTCAAGGTTCCTCCCCCACTCTGAACTCTAGGGTACAGATGTGGGGACCTGCATGAAAAACCTCCTAAGCTTCTCTTTACCAGCTTAGGTCAAAACTTCCCCAAGGTACAAAATATTCCGCCCTTTGTCCTTGGATTGGCCTCTACCACCACCAAACAAATACTGGTTACTGGGGAAGAGCTCTTTGGACACGTCTTTCCTCCCAAAATACTTCCCAAAACCTTGCACCCCACTTTCTGGACAAGGTTTGGTAAAAAGCCTCACCAATTTGCCTAGGTGACTACAGACCCAAACCCTTGGATCTGAGAACAATGAAAAAGCATTCAGTTTTCGTACAAGAAGACTTTTAATAGAAATAGAAGTAAATAGAAATCACCTCTGTAAAATCAGGATGGTAGATACCTTACAGGGTAATTAGATCCAAAACATAGAGAACCCCTCTAGGCAAAACCTTAAGTTACAAAAAAGATACACAGACAGAAATAGTTATTCTATTCAGCACAATTCTTTTCTTAGCCATTTAAAGAAATCATAATCTAACACATACCAAGCTAGATTACTTACTAAAAGTTCTAAGACTCCATTCCTGGTCTATCCCCAGCAGAAACAGCATATAGATAGACACACAGACCCTTTGTTTCTCTCCCTCTTCCCAGCTTTTGAAAGTATCTTGTCTCCTCATTGGTCATTTTGGTCAGGTGCCAGTGAGTTTACCTTTAGCTTCTTAACCCTTTACAGGTGAGAGGATTTTTTTCTCTGGCCAGGAGGGATTTTAAAGGGGTTTACCCTTCTCTTTATATTTATGACACGCCCCCCAAATCTCAGCTAGGGTGAAACACTGGCTGGGATTTCTTCCTGGAGCTCTAGGAAAACAGAGTTAATAAGACACATGTATCTCTAAATATACTACCAAGTACATAAAGACTAACAATATTTTCCACATCTCAAGGACGATTTTAACCAGTTGATTCTGGGAAACTTTCACGGGAGGGTGCATCAGCCACTTTGTTAGAAGCTCCTGAGATGTGTTGGATGTCGAAATCAAAATCTTGGAGAGCTAAACTCCACCGAAGAAGTTTTTTCTTAGTTTCCTTGACGGTGTGAAGCCACTTCAGTGCAGCATGGTCGGTTTGCAGGTGGAAACGCCGTCCCCAAACATATGGGCGTAGCTTTTCCAGAGCGTAGACAATGGCATAACGTTCTTTTTCAGTGACTGACCAGTTGCTTTCCCTCTCAGACAGTTTTTTGCTGAGAAACACTACAGGGTGGAATTCTTGATCAGGTCCTTTCTGCATTAAAACTGCTCCCACACCACGCTCGGATGCATATGTGGTTACTAGGAACGGTTTGTCAAAGTCTGGGGCCCTTAGTACAGGGTCAGACATGAGTGTTGCTTTAAGCTTGTTAAAGGCCTTCTGACACTTTCCGGTCCACTGAACAGCATTTGGCTGTTTCTTTTTGGTTAGGTTGTCAGTGGGGCGGCGATTTGGCTGTATTGCGGTACAAATCGTCTGTAATAACCGGCCAAGCCTAAGAAGGATTGAACCTGTTTCTTTGACTTTGGGACAGGCCACTTTTGGATAGCATCCACTTTGGCCTGTAGGGGGCTGATAGTTCCTTGACCCACCTGGTGTCCAAGGTAAGTCACTCTGTTTAGGCCTGTTTGACACTTCTTAGCCTTAACAGTTAGTCCTGCCTCCCTTATGCGCTCAAGGACGTTTTGTAGATGTTCCAGGTGGTCTGCCCAGGAATCCGAAAATATGGCCACGTCGTCAAGGTAGGCGACTGCATATTCTCCTAATCCCGCTAGGAGACCATCTACAAGTCTTTGGAAGGTGGCGGGTGCATTTCGCAGCCCAAAAGGGAGTACATTAAATTCATACAGCCCGAGATGTGTGGTGAAGGCTGACCTTTCCTTGGCAGATTCATCTAGCGGTACCTGCCAGTACCCCTTGGTTAAGTCCAAGGTAGAGATGAACTGGGTCCGTCCCAGTTTCTCTAATAGTTCATCTGTGCGTGGCATTGGATAGTTGTCTGGGCGAGTTACAGCATTTAGCTTACGGTAGTCCACGCAAAAACGTATTTCCCCATCTGGTTTGGGAACTAGAACCACTGGAGATGCCCATGCACTTCCAGAGGGGCGGATTACACCCATCTGTAACATATCCTGGATCTCCTGTTCTATAGCAGTTTTAGCTTGAGGAGACACCCGGTAAGGTTGGACCCTAACTGGGTGAGCATTACCTGTGTCAATGGAGTGGTATGCCCGTTCAGTCAGTCCTGGGGTGGCTGAGAACGTTGGCGCGTAGCTAGTGCACAGCTCCTTGATCTGCTGTAGCTGCATATGCCCAAGGGTCATGGAGAGGTTCACCTCTTCCACACCACCAGCACATTTCCCTTCGTAGTAGACACCTTCGGGCCACTCAGCGTCGTCTCCTCCCTGGGCTGTAAACTGACAAACCTTTAATTCTCTGGAATAAAAGGGCTTTAGAGAATTAATATGGTACACCTTAGGCTTTCGGTTGGAGGTGGGGAATGCTATGAGATAAGTAACAGCTCCCAGGCGCTCCTGGACCATGAATGGCGCTTCCCACGATACTTCCATTTTATGGGCCTGGAGCGCCTTTAAGACCATGACCTGGTCTCCTACTTTGAAGGAACGCTCTCTGGCATGTTTATCATACCAGGCTTTTTGCTCTTTTTGAGCATCCTGTAAGTTTTCTCTAGCAAGGGCTAAAGAGGTTCGGAGGGTGTTTTGTAGGTTGGTTACAAAGTCCAGAATGTTAGTTCCTGGAGAAGGTGTAAATCCCTCCCATTGCTGCCTCACCAACTGTAATGGCCCCTTAACCTCAAAGCCATATACAAGTTCAAATGGGGAAAACCCTAACCTGGGGTGTGGTACAGCTCTGTAGGCAAAGAGCAACTGCTGCAACACTAGGTCCCAATCATTGGAGTGCTCATTTACGAATTTACATATCATGGCCCCCAAAGTTCCATTAAACTTCTCCACCATGCCATTTGTTTGATGGTGGTAAGGAGTGGCAACCAAGTGATTTACCCCATGAGCTTCCCAAAGGTTTTCCATAGTTCCTGCCAGGAAATTAGTCCCTGCATCTGTGAGGATGTCGGAGGGCCAACCTACCCTGGCAAAAATGTCTGCTAGTGCCTGGCACACACTTTTAGCCCTGGTGTTGCTTAGAGCTACTGCTTCTGGCCATCGGGTGGCAAAATCCATGAAAGTCAGTATGTACTGCTTTCCTCTGGGTGTCTTTTTCGGAAAAGGACCCAGAATATCCACAGCTACTCGCTGAAATGGAACTTCAATGATGGGGAGTGGCTGGAGAGGGGCTTTGACCTGGTCTTGGGGTTTCCCCACTCTTTAGCATACCTCACAAGACTGGACATAGGTAGAAACATCCTTGCCCATTCCCTCCCAGTGGAATGACTCCCCCAAACGGTCTTTGGTCCCGTTCACCCCAGCATGGCCACTAGGGTGATCATGGGCTAAGCTCAAGAACTTGGCCCGGTATTTAGTTGGAACTACCAACTGTCTCTGAGGATGCCAGTCTTCCTGGTGTCCACCAGAAAGAGTTTCCTTATATAAAAGTCCTCTTTCTACAACAAACCTGGATCGATTAGAAGAGCTGAGAGGCGGTGGGTTGCTCCGTGCCGCCGTCCAAGCTCTCTGGAGGCTTTCATCTGCTTCCTGTTCGGTCTGGAACTGTTCCCTTGATGCTGGACACATCAGTTCCTCATTGGATTGTGGACCTAGGCTTGGTCCCTCTGGAAGCGATGTAGGGGATGGGGCTGTTTCCGTTGACTGTGAACCGCTTTCTGCTGGTGCACTATGTTGGGATTCAGGCTCCGGCTGAGCCTCTTGTGTAGGGTTATCAGCTGCTGCCAGTTCAGGTTCGGTGGGGCCCTCTGGTGTTGACGTTGCAAGTACTGGATTCAGTGCTGGCAATGGGTCTGGTGTTGGTTGTTTGGCTGGTTCCGATTCTGGGACTGGTTCCGTCTGGGTCTCTGGGACTGGATCCACTACTGCTGTTGCAGACATAGGCCTGGGGTCCGGGTCCATCACCTCTGACCGGGTCCTGATAGAAGTTTCTGGAACAGAGCTAGGCCTCACGGCTTGTTTAGCCTGGCTGCGGGTGACCGTTCCCACCCTCTTGGCCTGCTTCACATGATTGGCCAAGTCTTCCCCCAACAGCATGGGGATGGGATAATCATCATAG